TGGATTGAGAACAATGATGAACATATATCAGAAACTATAAGCTAGGCACCATACCCGGTGCTTTACAAGCTATATTACATTCAATCCTCACAAGTTTATGAGATTGCCACTATTCTTATCTATAGTTAGGGAAACAAAGACTTAGGTTGAATACTTTCCCAAGCTCACATTGCTGTTAAGTGGCATAAACACTGATTAGAACTTATGTGGAACTTGTGTAACTGTCTTCAAACCCAGATTCTTAATCACCACACTGTGTTATTAAATGTGATAAATGGGATCCAAATCTTCATCTGTTAGCTATTAACCCTCAAATTTGGGTTGACTCTGTTTATGTTTCCACATTCAAAACCAGGTCTTTTTTTTAGTTTTTTTTTTTTGCCAAAATTCCACTTGTTTGAAGATTACTTCTGAACAGAATGGGATTATTTTATTCTTTCGGCAAAGACATCCAAGGGGCCATATGTTCTTGTTAGAGTCTCCTGGTACGAAACAGAGCAATAGGAAGAGCCAGAGGAAAGAAACCTACATGAAATCAATCTTTGATAACTTTAGGATGAGCCCTCTACAGTGGAGTTTGTCAATGTAAAGGTCTTAAATAATAGAACTCAGGTTCTCATTTCGAACTACAGAATATCTCAATGTAGGGCCTAGAAGTTATTTGAATTTAGTGATAATTTAATAGCATTTTATTCCAGAATTAGAGCCTTGTTTCCTCTTTCACTAACCAGAAAATCTATAATTCCTTTAATCCTGAAAATATTTTAATCTCTTGTACCACTATCCAAAATTTCTAACTACCTATCTGTAATTAACCTCAGTCCATTTTTAAGACTGAAGTGAGGACCAGTTCTTTTTTTTTCTTTTTTTTTAAAGCCTTTAATTCGATACAGTATTCTCCCAGCTTAAAAGTCATTTAAAATGAAAGTCTAAGGATGTTTACAAAAATAGGACATAGATAAAGCAGTATAAGCCAGTTATTATTTTTTAAAAGGTAACAGTTTGGGGAAGAGTAGGGAAAAAAAGACAGCCCTATCTTTGTAAAAGTGAATTTTTTCTTGTTCTAGAAGCCAGCACAGCTGTCTCACATGGGAACAGGGAAAGCTGCAGGGGCTTAGATCAAATGGCGGTCAGAAGCAGTACCCCCTGCTAAATGTGATTGCATCTGAGCTCATAAACAAGAAGACGCTGAACCTGGATGTCACAGACTTGATTAATTTTCAAGTAGGGCAGATACAAACAGGGAAGACTGATGCTCTGATTTTCCTAATTAACTCAGATGATTCATAGTGGTTTAATAGCCAGGATCTCTACTCTTCCATTACGCAGATGGGCAGGAGCTTGGTTTTTGAGAAATGATCTGACAATTAAGATGCACAGGCAGGGCCCTAAGAAACCTGATTTTCAAAGGGTTCTGCTTCTAATGCTGGGGTTTTTACTTAAATGAATCCTCACCCTGTTCCAGCTCCATACAAAAGAAATAGGTAGATCGAAATGTTCACACTCTAGCTTGGCAAAGGCACAAACGGAAATATTAATGCTAGTTAACAATTTCCACATAAAGATTAACTGACAATTATCAGTGACATGAATGAACATTACTGGAATCTGGGGAACATATTATTAGCCTTCATTTACCCATACCTTTTCTAATAGACATAAAGGATTAAACTGTTTCTGAAAAAAATGGCAGAATCTGGATATCAGGTACTATGTTTTTTTACTGCTTTAGTAGACCAGTGTATATTCTTTCTGCCGGTCTCTCAAATTCTAGCTATTGCTTACAGGAACATGTTTTAAGCCAACATATCAGTCTTTGGGGAGTTCAGCATGCAAAGATCCCTTTTTGTACCTGCAGAACCAACACATTTGTTGAGAATAGAAAGGGCCAGGTTTTGACATTTTCCAGCTTGTTATCTATTTAATTTTCCATCTGCTTCTTTTGCCACTGCCTTCCAAAGGAACATCTGCTGCACATCTGAGAGAAGGAGGGGAAGATTGGATCCCTGCCACCTGGGTCTGCAGTCCTAAACCTTGGGATTCAGATTAAGGGAAGGGAAGAAGACTGACACATGGTCCAGAAAATGAAATGAGGACAAACAGTCTGTTAAGAACAAACCTTTATTTCCATTTATCGCAGAGCCCACACTACCAGGCAAGCTGGACAACAGTGTCTGCCATCAGCTAGAGCTAAGGCAGGGGAGGGAGCTGGTGCCTGAGAGGGGAGGGGAGAGGCAAGAGCAGTTTCCAGCGCTCAGACGCGCCCTCTGGTGCCTGAATTTGCACTCAGCACACCTGCAGCTCACATACCCTTTAAGCATTTATGGGGCAGCTGGACTTTGTTCTGGGCATTCTGGAGGCAGAGATGATTGTAAGATGTATTTCCTACCTTGAAAGAGCTGGCCTAGGATGAGGGAGATGGGCAAGTAGACAGCAGATTACAATATACAATAATAAATTCTGCACACTGGCTGGGAGCACAGAGAAGGGAAAAGAAGGGTGTGCCTAATCCCATGAAGCAAAATGGTGGCTCAAGGAAAGGAGAGGCTCTACAGACATGGTGCCGTGAGCGGGGTCTGGAAGGATAAACAGGAACATTAGAAAACAAGCTTTTTTTCTCCTTATGATCAAGAGTTAGCACATAACAGCCAATCTTCGTATTGACTCAAAAAACTGAATATCCCCAAACCTTAAACCCACGCACCACCCCCTCAGTGTCCAGGCATCAGCAATTCTGTCCAATGTACTAGCTGGTTGTGCCATCTCTTAGTATTATCTGAAGAATCACTGGTAAGGATAGCAAAGTCTTATCAGACTGGGAGGGAAATCTCAGTTTAAGAACCACTTTTTAATTTGCTGCCATGGAGTGGCCAATTGTCGGGTTTTAACTGTCCTTAAATATTGAACTTTGGCATCACCAAAATCTTGATATGTAAGACCAGAGTAGCCACCCAATTACATTTTTAGACTTAGGAGTTTCTCTGCAATCAAGGATTGAGTGAGTATCTGGTGTGGGCACCATGAGGCGCACAGAAGTATAAGGCATGACCTTTGAGTCTAGAAAACTAAAATCTAATTGCGATGATAAGCAATTAGTTCTATAGTTCTGACATGACAAATACTTAACATTTAACTGAGAAAAGAGTGAGGCTAACGTGATAATGCGTTGCTCAGTGAATGTATGCTTTCTTCCCTTTCCAGGCCCTCTACAAATGGGTATAAAACTTTATCATTTGCTTTAGCCACAGTGTATACTGAGATGCAAATGCAGTTGGCATAATCTCTGACTACACCAATATGTTGTCTGGCATTTTAATAAATTTTGTTTTATTTTTAAATTTTTTTAAATAAATTGTATTTAAAAAAATATGCTTTCACAAAATGCAAATGACTGGGGAAAAAATCAAGCACACCTTTTTTTTTCTGTCATACATTTTCTTTTCAAAAGAAAGATTTCCTCAACTTAAAAACACATTGAGGAATAATTTTTTGCAGTTTTTCTTGCTATTCACTAGCAAGCTATTTAATAAAATTAAATATTTGGTGTATTTTTACCTTGAATTAACTCACAGAAATCCTTAGGTTATTATAAGCATGTAATGTTTCAGTTTATGGTTAGTTTCTCAGGTGGAGCTTAAAGGCATTAAAATTTTTAAGTTTTAAATCACATCATTAGGTATGGTGGATAAGAGAATTCCCTGTGTTCACCTACAAGAATTGACTTAAAGAGAAACTGATGATTGAAACATTTCATGATTTCAGAATAAGAACAAAAGGAGGATTTCTATGGCATTAGGTGATTGGGCCACCAGAAGAAAAATTCCAAAGTAATTTCTGTCAGGAGGCCACAATCCATTATGTCCTAATTTAGAGTTGATAGAAGCACAGAATATTTTTGAGTTGGAATGTATGCCTGGTTATCGTCTGATTTGTAAATGAGAAAACTGAGATCCAGAAAGATTAAATAATTACGTCTTGGTTTTCTGGGTTTACAACTGTGACCTGAAACTCCCCAGCACATCATAACTTCAGGCATTATCTTGTCACTGTTATTCCTTTTGGTTTTATATTTTTACCCATGAAAAAAATCATGTAGGGACAGAGCTAGATCAGTCTTTCTTAATGGAACTTGTATTTGTCATTCCCACTCAATACTCTAGAAAATCGGGTTTAGCTCGCTAGTCTCAGGACCTGAATGAGTGGTCTGGCACCTATTCTGTGCCAACCTGGTTTTTTTTCTGTCTTGGTCCTCCCTGAGACCGTAGAAGACAAGAGCAGGTAGCACCGTGCACAGCCCCCTGTCTCCTGAGACTAGATTCGGGGAGTATAGCTACTGTATAGGTTGTGATCTCCGGGGAGACTTGGGGCTCTCTGAAGGCGTGGTGCTTTTGTGGCTGAGTTAGGTGCAAACGAGCCTCAGGTAAGTTCCTGAGGGACGGACATAAGCAGATTTAGTAAACTGTTTAAACATTCCATGCCTAACATTTTCTGAATTGGAGGATAACTACACATAATTTCCTTTGGCTTCAGTATAATACAGATCAGGCTTAATAAATACATCAAGAAGGAACTAAGCCAATTGCTGGAACGTGACTGCATTTAGTTGATAATAGAAAAAATAAACGATGGCATGTCATTACTTAAATGAAGCACAGAACAAACTCTGAGTTAATCACCTTCCAAGCTTTTTCTCCAGATAATGTTCTTTTCCTTTTCTACAGATGTCTATTCTCTAGTTCTAGTGGGTTTTGTCCTTTTTCCTCATGTTGCAGCAGATGCAATGGGAGATCAGCTAGATACTCCTGTTATTTCTGCAGCTCTTATATTCAACTTCTGGTGGGCGGGGAGAGCACTGCCCCAGCCTCCAGGGGCAACATGTCTTCTCTCTTCCTGGTTTCTCCTTGAAAATTAATCTGAGATTGATGGGTACATGGGGAAAATCCATTCCTGGATATTCTTCCTTACCATACTTCTAATTGCCTTTGCTGTATCATCCTTAGGACTACCAGGAGGCTTCCAATTTGGAACAATTTGTAACTCGATTTTTATTGAAGGAGACCTTGAATCAGCTGCAGTCTCTCCAGAATTCTCTGGAATGTGCCATGGAAACTACTGAGGAGCAAACCCGTCAAGAAAGGCAAGTTAAATATGTTCACGTGATATCTCTTTAGTGACTAGGAAAGACCAGTGGAGGGGCATCATGCTTAAGCTAGTGAAAACTAAAAATGAGAATTAATAAAATTAAAGAATTACAGGAACCTCCTTTGGGTGCTCGCCTTACATTTGCCACTAAAAGAAGCCATTCTACATTTACTGTCCATTTATTCAAATTTAAGTTGCAAATTTAGTAGACACTGTGATACTGTAGAGTTACATTTTACATAGTCCTGACTCTTCAGGAGGCTAAAGTCTATTATGTAAATAAGACATGAAGACTAAAACCATAGTGTAAGGGGCAAAGTGATATATATCATACAGAAGGGTAAATAAGGTGCCAAGGATTTAGGAAGAGTAAAAGATTTCATGGAATTTCCTGACGATATTTGGGCTCATCTTGCAAATGAGTATTATGTGAAAATGTGGAACTGATAGAAACTTAGAGGCTAAGTGGACCTGGATGTACCTGAGGACTTGGGAATCGAATCAGCCTATTTATTTAAGGGAATAAAGAAAAGTGAATGGTAGGAAAAGATTTCCAAATTCAAGACCACCAGTTAATATCACTGAGAAGATAAGTAATGCTACTATAATAGTTACGTAAATAAAGGTGCTGACTGAAGAGGAACCTGCATTAGAACCGTGTAAAGCAGACATCGAAATTATTCCACCCAACGGCTGGTCCTTTCTGGAGTTGCCATTGTTTATACTGTGCAAGCTAGAGAAGGGCTCGGCAGCACGCTGGCTTATGCAACATATTTTGCATGTATTACTTCGAACCTATACATTTGACCATCTAACTTTTGCATTTTAAATTAGGGAGAACCACACAGTAACTTTTTTGAACAGGCTGATAACAGATTGCTCAGTAGGACCAATTTCTCTAAACAAACTAATAGATACGTAGTTATTAGGACATCTCAGAGAAACAGTAGAATTTTCAGCCATGTGTTTACAGTGTCAAAATGAGTGAGCACCACCAAATTCTAACAAAAAAGCCTCTAATCTCAAATCTAATGAGCTCATGCAGCTGATGAACATGTGTCTGCACTGGGCCATAGATCTTGCAGCATTTTCACATTATAAACTTCTTATTTTCACTGCCTTGAATGATTCTGTATCAAATGGCAGGTGTAACAAATAGCTTTAGAAAAGCAAAAACCCCGTTCTTCAAGTTTGAGCAGAGGATAACGAAATATCTTGAAATACAGTGAAACTGATTTTATGTTCCAAATGGGAAAATGAGGTTGATTTCTCTGTTTTGTTTAGGATTTTCTTGATGTGAAGTGGATTCTCGCTTTTTAGAATCAATTATTTGTCACCTGAGAGGAAGCCTGCAAAAGCGCTGTGCTTCCCTTCTTCACCTGCACTTTGGGTTTTTTCTGTAGTCATCTCCTGCAAACTTGAGTTCTGCACTCACCACCATATAATGGATAGTGAATATATGATGAATAGCTGTTCTTTGTGTCAGGCCACAGGCTAGCCTTGGCTTCCTGTGAAAGCTACCAACACCTGCACAGCAGCTGTGTTTAATGTGAAGGAATGTGATAATGCAGAACTTAGGGAAAGTAGAAGACACTAAAGGACTAATTAATATTTTATTTATAGGCTTCTAGCTCAAACAGAGCTTGGAAGAATGAGAACTATTACAGGTCTGATGTAAATTTGGGTGGTGCTATTGTATGGTATTTGACTAAGGTACCCAGGGATGCCCAGATCCCACCCCAAATCCATGATACTCCTCTGGGGAGGTTTTCATTAAAAAATAAATAAATAAAAAGCAAATAAAAAAACTAGTTTCCACTATGGGTTTGTGCCCATAATCCAACTTGAAATGTCTGGTGACCCTGACTGAAGAGTGGGAATTAGGCTCATGCTTAAAAGTATCGTTGTCTCCTCTCCCTAGCTCCATCTAGCAATCAGCTGGTCACCAGAAACCAAAGTAAGGAGAGCCCCAGGGGCCCTCACCAGTGGAGAAAAAAAACAGGACAGGAAAGATGGCTGTCCTTTTTCCATGATATTAGACAAGAGACCAGTAAATAATCCTCATAGGAGATAAGACTTGAACGGGATCTTTAGGGTAGATTTAATGGCAGAGGATATTCTCCCTGAAGGGATGGGTCTCCTCAGCCACCCCATAGTACCCATCTTCTTCCTTCTGGCTGGCTCTTCCTCATCTGTTTGGTCACTGCTTGGACAGCACTTGCTCTGGGAAACCTTCACCTACGACTCCACCATTGTTTACTTCCTCAGTACCCTCTACTTAGACTTACCTACAAACTCAATCCTTTACTTATCTCTCCCATTAGACTTTGAGTTTCTAAATGGAAGGGGCTTTGCCTTGTTTCCCTGTACCTGGCACAACTACATGTTAAATATACGAAACTGAATGAATGAAAGGGAATCCCAGGTAAAAGGAACTATGTAGAACAGCAGTGGGTGAGGACCTGGGACAGTGAGAACAAGCCATCTGGCATCTAAGGTTAAGAAAGGTCTTAAAAGCTAGAAAAATGCATTTAGATTTCATATGATCAGAGATTGTCTTGGTGGTTGTAAATAAAAGAGAAATATAATGAAAATAAATTTTAAGGGAAATTAGTCTCATAACAGTATATAGCAAAGATTTGGGAAGAGTTAGAACAAGGTCAGAGAGGAGAGGTCAAATCAATGTACTGCAGAACTCATCCGTTTTTTTATAACACAAAGGAAGATTCCACGATGCCCTGCATAGTCAACAGTTGCAACCTGCAGATAGCATTAAAAATCCCAGGGTTATAATAATTTGCTTCCCCTTAAGTATCAGTATTACTTTGGGGCTTAATATTTGTGAAACCTAGGGATACAAAACTTCATTGGAATATAACAAATTTTGAGAAGTCATCTGTTCTAGCTATCAACCCCAGGGAGGAATCACATAGTATCACTCATCCTGCAGTAATGAGTTAGACATGCAGTGTTGGGCAGAATGTCTGTATCTATTCATGTGAAAATGGCAATTTCAGAGAGAAGGGGTGCATACAGCTGGAATGCCACAGAGGTGAGATTTTCAGATAGTGTTCTACAACATTCTTTGTATCTGTCCTGGCATACTGGCTAAATTAATTCCATGTCTTGTACCTAATAGCCAATGGCACGAATAATCATCACATTACACTGAAGCTTCCCTCGAGAGGCCCCTGTCTCTTCTTCACAAACCAGATTTCTGGGAACACAGTTTAATTATATGTGAATTTCTTTTTATAATGGAATCTGAAAATTTACTCTATTTTCCAAAGTTGTTCTTTATCCAGACTAATTCCTTCTAGGTTTAGAAGTTATTCTTCTCCTTTTGATGGTTGTCTATTATAGAAGTAAGGGAAGGCTTTAATTTTGCTTGCAGGTGATTATAAAACTTCAGACAGTCTACATTCCCTTAGCTTGAACATAGAGAACTGCTCTAGTCACCTATTCTTATGACCAGGAAAGCTGCGAGAAAGTTGATCTTTTTTAAATGCCAAAGGAAAATTCATAGGGTGGTCTAGTTAAAGATTGGAGAGTAAACATATGATTTCTTTTCTTTCCTTCCTTCTTTCAAAGAAGGCATTGACAGAGTGTGGACAACAAGGAGTCATAAAGGTGCTGCAAAGATAAGGACAGACGAACCAAAGGGGTAGAAACTTGGAATATGGAAAGAAAATGAATGTAGTGGTGACTAATGTTGAAGCTCTGAGAAAGACAAAACATAGGCAACGTGTGAAGCCAAGAGGCAATGTAATTTGTATCACAGAACCTCAGAGAGGTTCATGAATTGGCTTCACTGTGTGCAGTGGGGGTGACGTTGGGGCTAACATCTTGCTGAAAGCTCCATCTAATACTATGTAAGTGCCCCTCCCCAGTCCTTGAGGAGCCTAGAGATGTGCTTTCTGGAGAAGGTGAACAGATATATAGCTAGCACAGCAGGGGTCAGGACATGATACTAAAACACAGGCATTGAGTGAAAGTCTCCACACTGAACAATGAGATTTGAAAGCCACTCAGCATACTGTACTCCCAAAGCACTGACAGCTGGGCTTCTACACTCTGGTTGGGAGATGCTTCTCTCACTTTTCTGTGGGATCCCATCAGTCCAAGAGAAAGACTTAAAAGTACCAAGAGATGGTGTCTCTTAATGAATAGGCCTAGCCAGGCCACCCTACAGTGGGGGCTGCAAGTTGGCAATCCTCACCTCCCCCCCACCCTAAACACACACTCTCATCATCCATGTTTCCTTCCTCCGAAATAGGCAGGGACAACCAAGAGAACAAAGCAAACACAAGAAAAGAAACTTAGAAGAAACAGATTATAATCCAGAGAGCAGAAGAAAACTTCCAAAAAAAAAAAAAAAAGAAAGAAAGAAAAGAAATCAATACCCGTGGAAAGCAGAGAAAATATTGCATTTATGAATTAAGGACAGGATGCTATTTTAAAAAATAATATTCATGGGGTGCCTGGGAGGCTCAGTCATTAAGCGTCTGCCTTCGGCTCGGGTCATGATCCCAGGGTCCTGGGATCGAGCCCCGCATCAGGTTCCCTGCTCGGCGGGGAGCCTGCTTCTCCCTCTCCCACTCCCCCTGCTTGTGTTCCCTCTCTCGCTGTGTGTCTCTCTCTCTGTCAAAGAAGTAAATAAAATCTTTAAGAAAAATAAATGAATAAAAAATAAAAACTATTCAAAGCACACAGAGAGCTCTTGGAAATTATGATTGCAGAAATAAACTGTGAACAAGATTTGGAGATAAAAGTGTGATGGCATTTCCACAAAGAGGTGAAAAATAGGAAAGAAAAAAATAAATAAAACTATAGGATAGTCCAAAAGGCCCAATATTTGAAAAGTAGTAATTCTAGAAAGAGAAAAAAGGAGAGAAATTGTCTAAGAAATAATTCTCAGAACAAGGACATGAGTTTCCAGGTTGATAGAACAGACTGAGAGCCCATTACAGTGAATCCTAAAATCTGACACCAAGGCATGCCATTATAAGATTTCAGAATACCAAAGACAGAGAAATGTCTAAAATCTTCCAGACAGAAAAACCAGGTCAAATACAAAGGATGAAGAAAACACTAGATTTTTTCAATAATGACACTGGAAGCTAGAAATGCAATCAAGTAGCTTTTTCAAAATTTGAAGGGAAAATGATTTGCAACCTAAATCTTTGTACTCTGACTTCAGGGGAAGATGGCAGAGTAGGAGGATGCTAGGCTCACACTGTCCTATTGATATGCCTAAATAACACACACATCAGTGTAAATAACCCAGAAAACGACCAGAAGACTAGCAGAACAGACTCTCACAGCTAAATGTAGAGAAGAGGCCACATTGAAAATGGTAGGAAGGGTGGAGATGCAATCAGGAGCCAAACAGACCTGCAGAACTGTCTCGGGGAGGGAGGGACACTGCAAGCGTGGAGGAGGGAAAAGAGCAGACCCCACCCCAGGCACCCCAGGCACAAGGGACCCACAGAGGGAAGATGAACCTCTATAACATTTGGATTTGAAAACCAGAGGGGCTTAATTTTGTAAGTTTTTACAGTCAGTGGGGCTTAAGACCTAGAACTTTCTTTTTTTTTAAAGATCTTATTTATTTGAAAGAGAGAGAGAAAGCACGAGAGGGTGGAGGGTCAGAGGGAGAAGACTCCCCACTGGGTCTACCTCAAGAAGCCAGAAAAATCTAAAATAAACTAACCTTACACCTAAAGGAGCTAGGAAAGGAAGAATAAATAAAACCCAAAACCAGTAGAAGGAAGGAAATAAAGATTAGAGCAGAAATAAATGAAATAGAAACTAAAAACAAAAACAAACAAAGATCAATGAAACCAGGAGCTGGTTCTTTGAAAAGATTAACAAAAATGATAAACTTTTAGCCAGACTCATAAATAAAGAACTCAAAATCAGAAATGAAAGAGGAGAAATACGAACCAACACCATAGAAACACAATGGATTATTAGAGCATATTATGAATAATTATATGGCAACAAATTGGACAATCTAGAAGAAATGGATAAATTCCAGAAACATATAACCTTCCAAAACTGAGTTGGAAAGAAATAGAAAATTTGATAGACCAATTACCAGCAATGAAGTTGAACAGTAATCAAAAACTCCCACAAACAAAAGTCCAAGACCAGATGGCTTTGCAGGTAAATTTTACCAAACATTTAAAGAAGTATTAATACCTATTCTTAAATATTCCAAAAAATAGAAGAGAAAGGAAAACTTCCAAATTCATTCTGTGATGCCAGCATTACCCTGATACCAAAACCAGATAAAGACAGTACAATAAATGAGAACTACAAGCCAGTATCTCTGAAGAACATAGATGCAAAATTCCCCAACAAAATATTAATAAACTGAATCCCCCAATATATTAAAAAAATCATTCACCACAATCAAGTGGGATTAAAACTTCTGCACAGCAAAGGGAATAATCAGCAAAACAAAAGGACAACCTACTGAATGGGAGGAGATATTTGCAAGTAATATATTCAATAAAGGGTTAATATCCAAAATATATAAAGAATATATAAAATGTATACAACTCAACACCCAAAGAATATCCAATTATTTCATCAATTAAAAATGGGCAGAAGACAAGAACAAATATTCCTCCACAGAAGGCATATAGGTGGCCAACCGACACATGAAAAGATGGTCAACTCACTAACCATCAGTGAAATGAAAATCAGAACTAGAGTGAGCTATCACCTCATTCCTGCATAATGGCTAAAATCAAAAACACAAGAAACGAGCATTGGCGAGAATGTGGAGAAAAAGGAACCCTCGTGCACTGTTGGTGGAAATGCAAACTGGTACAGTCACTGTGGAAGATGGTATGGAGGTTCCTCAAAAAATTAAAAATAGAATTACCATATGATGCAGTAATTCCACTCCTGGGTATTTACCCAAGGAATATGAAAACACTAATTTGAGAAGATATATGCACCCCTGTGATTACTGCAGCATTATTTACAATAGCCAAAATATACAAGAAACCCAAGTATCCATCAATAGATGAACAGATAAAGAAAATGTGTGTGTGTACACACACACACACTCTCTCTCTCTCTCTCTCTCTCTCTCTCTCTCTCTCTCTCTGGAATATTACTCAGCCATAAAGAAATCTTGCCATTTGCAGCAACATGGATGGATCTGGAGAGTATAATGCTAAGTGAAATGTCAGTAAGAGAAAGACAAATACCGTATGATTTCACTCATGTAGAATTTAAAAAATAAAAAAAGACAAGCAAATTACAGACTGTTTTTTTGAGGTTTTATTTATTAGAGAGAGAGAGAGCACAAGTGGGGAGAAGAGGGAGAAGCAGCCTTCTTGCTCAGGAAGCTGAGACTGGGACTCGATCCCAGGACCCTGAGATCGTTACCTGAGCTGAAGGCAGTCGCTTAACCAACTGAGCCACCCAGGTGCCCCCAAATTATAGACTCTTAAGTGTAGTGAAAAAAACTGATGGTTACCAGAGGGGAAGTGAGTGGGAGGATGGGTGAAATAGGTGAAGGAGATTAAGTGTACGCTTATGATGATGAGCACTGAGTACTGCATAGAATTGTTGAATCACTATATTATACACCTGAAAATAATATACCATTGTACATTAATTATACTGGAAATTTAAAAAATAAAGTTCTTTATCCCATAAAACCACCAATAAAGTAGAATAAAATAAAAGTATCTTTTTAATATGCAGTATCTCAAAAATTTGAACACTACATCAAAAACTAATGATGTACCATATGCTGGCTAATTGAACATAATAAAAAAATAGAGAATCAGCATAAAAGAAAGAAAAAGCAATTAAGTTCATTCATTTATTGAGAAAAAAAAATTTACCTCTCATGGTGCACCATTTCCTATGAAGCAGTTGAGGTTCTTTTCCACCAAAACAAAGAGAAAAATCCAATTTAAAAGGGGGGCTGGGGGGACCAGCATTAGAAAGAGGCTAAAGAAATTTTCCCTTACTGATAGTAGAGGAAGATTTTTGGATGAGTGAATTAGTATTAGATTTGGCTGCATGTAACAGGAAAAAAAAAAGTGACTTAAACACATAAGGGCTTATTATCAAGAAAGAGCTTGGTGGTGGCAGCCTAAGCAGGTATGACAGCTCTACAGATTTATCATAGACCTCCTGTTTCCTCAAGTTTGCCTCGTGGTCCAGGATGGTTGCTGGAGTTCCAGCTATCACATGTGTATTCCAACCAGGAGAAAAGAATAGGGAAAGACCAAAGGCTTGCTTCCCAAGTTGAATCCATTCTTTCAAACAGTTTTCCTGTAAGTTCCTTATGATATTTCCTTATATATACCATTGACCTGAACTTTTCATATTGGGAAGTTAATAGATACATTTAAAACTGAAGAATAAAGTGATAGCAATTTAAGCATATTATATACAGATATGAGGATAAATACCCAAATTAACACTTCTTGAAAGCATTCCCTCTGTGAAAGGGGAATGGGCATGATATGGAGGTGGGGGAGTAGGAGCTCCTGTTTGTTAAAATAAGCTTGTCATCAAAAACTAATGATGTACTGTATGGTGACTAACATAGCTAACATAACATAATAAAAAAATTATAATTTAAATAAATAAAATAAGCTTTGTAGTATTATTTGACTTTTAAAATTGTATGGACACATAGCCTTGATTTAAAAAATTTAAAACTGACTGAACACCATAGGTATTCTCAAACTAAATACATCAGCACACAAACATTTTTCCCATTGATGGTTTGGTCAAGAAACGAAAGATGTTTTTCTTAAGTCACAAATGAAGATACAATTTTTACTCAAACTCTGAAAAAATAAAGACAGCTCACGGTTTCTCCTTTAGGTTCACATTTATAAAACCAGATCATGTGGGTCTTTAGAGCATGTTGGCAAGCAGTAATTCTCCTAACTTTTCATTTCACTACACCAGAAAACCTTTGTGATTGATGGTTAAAGATCTGTTTCTCGAGGCAAGAAACACGCTGTGGTTAAATGTTGTCTCTCTTGTTCAAGGCAAGGGCCGACCAAGCCAGAAGTCCTGTTGATTCAGTGGCCTGGAAAGCGATCCAGTCGCCGAGTCCAGAGACACAACAGCTTCTCCCCTAAAAGCCCTCAGTTTAGTGCCTGTGGTCCAGGTAATGAAGCTTTGTCATTTTTCTTCTTCCAGACTGACCCAGTTTGTATTTTCACGTTGACATACTTTTTAAGCAAGTAAAACAGCAATAGTAATGGAAAGCTTTTCTTATACCAGATAAGTTTGTCTGAAACCACAGTGGCAGAGAGCCTGTGGTATTAAGAACAGGGTGATGATCCTCCCTATTGTTTCCGTCAGAATCCCACAGCTGCACCCAGCAGTGCACAGAGGGATGATGGGTAGGGAAGAAAGTGGCTTGGTCACCTAATACACGAGGGACTGGAGACCTGTAGAAGTCCCCATCAGTTTCAAGGAAGGAGGCACACTTTAGTTTGTACCCTAGTCTGCTCCAGATCCCCTAAAGCCTGCCTAAACATATGCAAAGGATTTTCAGGAAAATCCTTTGAGGAAAAGGATTTTTATTTCCTTTCCTGATGGGATTAAAGTCATAGCTGGCATTTTTGAAGTGTGTAGTGTAATATAACATTTATTGGACTAAAACCTTAGTAATATCTTAGGTTATTTTAATTGTGTCATTTGTAATAATTACTTTAAAATTCATTTGAAATATACAATTCCAAGCATGGGTATGTATATATATGTATATGTGTGTGTGTGTGTATATATATAAACCTCACTTGAACATATCATTTTAACACAGATTAACCTTGAAATATCTAATATTTCAGAAAATCAAAGTACTAACTATAGTCTATATTTACACAGACTGTATTTGAAAGGTTTCAAAGTGCTTTCTTGAACACTGTCTTACTTCATTCTAATACCTTATAAGATAGATGTTAGTATCTTTATTTCCCCAGAAGTGAAGCAATTTGACCAAGGGCATATGGTTTATTAGTCCATTTTTATGGTGAAACAACTGCAAAAGCTCAGTGATTACCACTGCAGATATTTGTCTATTTTCGTTCATGGTCTGTGGTTGATGGTGATTTGGGTGATCTCAGCTGCATGTGTGCTCCCCAACCTGTAGATTGGGTTCAGCTCTGCTTCTCCTGTGGCCTCTTGGGATCAGTGACTACTTGGAGCAAGCAGTTTCTTTTGGTGGGTGTCAGAAGCACAACCAGCCAGGCCACCTCACACAGCTCACTTGAAACCACTGTTTGCATCTTACCTGCTAACTCCCCATTGGCCAAATGAGTCCCCTGCCGAACCCAGTAACAGTGGGAAGGGACACGTACTCACTCCACCCGTTGTGGTAGGAGATACTGCAAAGTGGAGGGGCAAAGACTTGTAGTGTACATAGAATTCTATACCAGGAAGAAAGGGGAAAATTGTGAGCAATTACACAGTCTACCATGTGTTGTTAGGAAATGACAATACTAGACTCCTGAGTCAAAATACAGATTGTTCTTTACACTTTAACCTTTAGAAAACAGAGCAAAACCCAAAGTTTCCTTCTAAGGAGATTTGATGTGACAGCCACCTTAAATTCTGTTAGGAACAAGCCAGAATGGAAATGTGTTAACTGATTTGTAAATTAAGAAGTAAACCTAAATTTTGTTTCTACAGTTACAATGTTTTGTATTATAAAGCACCCTTATTCTGATTTTTTTTTTTAGAGCCACTTCTGTATGACTGTTCTCCTGCTTAGTTTTGCATCATAATTTATGTGATGGGCCTTGAGTTTTACCCCAGAATACAGAGAGAAAAGTGAATTCTAATGTAAAGTACTACCTCTTTATAATTTGGTCTTATGTTCCTAACATTCAAAGCTAAAACAAGGCTTTACAGTTTGAATTCAATGACATCCTCCCATCGAAAAATATTCAATAATAATATTTCAGCAAATGCCTATGAAATCATTTTGAGCAAGCTGCCATAAGGATGCCAGGATGTTTGTGCAGGGGCTCAGACCACAACTCTTCCCTTTGCATCTTTGAATAATCTCCAGGTCATGAGTTCAAGCCCCACGGTGGGTGTAGAGCTTACTTGAAAAAGCAATAATAAAATAAAAGATACTTAAGAAATTTTTTGAATTAAAAAAATAATTACAGCAACAATAATAGCTACAGGACTTACGTGATGGTTGACTGGGTGCTAGATATAGATGTGTGTTTGTATGTATGTTCACACAGACGTACATATGTATGTCTGTCACGTGTATGCACGTATATGTGTGTGTGTGTGTGTGTGTATACATATATATTCTGATTTAATCCTCACAATGACTATGTGTCCAGTGATGATATTATTGCTGAGGCCAGAGGAGTCAAGTCATCTGAGCAAGATCAACAGGTTCCAGATTCTGTGCTCTTAATCCCTATGCCATGACCATAGTGTGAGTGTTTATTCAGGTTAGCCCCTAGGAAAGGAGACACCAGCTCCCTTGCTGTGGTCAGTCCTGTTACTTCCCTGGCGCATGCCACTGTCACCAAAGTAAACTTAAAATTATTGATGGATGCTTTCCTTTTTTCAAAAGAAAAATCAGCCGTCTCATGGGGTGGTGAAAATGGCTCAGCGGGATCTGTTCTTTGACTATCAAAGGCCAGTACAGGCAACGACATAAAAAGCGCAGACTTGCGGAAATGAACCCACTGGGCCGCGCAGATCTATGGAAACCGGTAACTCGGAAAGCATTTGTGTGAATATATTTCTTTAAAAGGTGACTAGCCAGTGACACTGTGTGCTTCCTTCAGGGTAAAAGGAAAGTTCTGAGATGCCAAAGCATTCCTGCTCTGTTTAATACATTGTCCTCATGATTTTCCCCTCAAGGCTTATTAGAAGAAGATAACCAGTGGATGACCCAGATCAATAGACTCCAGAAATTAATTGATCGACTGGAAAAGAAGGTAGGTGCTTCCTTTCCTTTCTTCTCCCTCTCACTTTTCAGTACATGCTGAGCTGTTTTTCCTCATGGCAGTAATATATCCAGAGAGAATAACAGCCAGGAGCCCCGTGATTCTACAAATGGCTGCTTGGTAGTTATCTGGGCGTTTCTGTTCGAGCAAATATAGAAGCTCATGTTAGTTCTTAGTCCCCCTACCTCCACCCCTAGTTCTATTTAAAATAGGTTGTAGGGGCGCCCGGGTGGCTCAGTTGGTTGGGCGACTGCCTTCGGCTCAGGTCATGATCCTGGAGTCCCGGGATCGAGTCCCACATTGGGCTCCCTGCTCCGCGGGGAGTCTGCTTCTCCCTCTGACCCTCCCCCCTTTCATGCTCTGTCTCTCTCATTCTTTCTCTCTCTCAAATAAATAAATCTTTAAAAAATAAAATAAAATGGGTTGTAGAGGAGTGCCTGGGTGGCTCAGTCAGTTAAGCATCTACCTTCGGCTCAGGTCATGATCTCAGGGTCCTGGGATCGAGCCCCACGTGGGCTCCCTGCTCGGGGGGGAGCCTGCTTCTCCCTCTGCCTCTGCCCCTCCACCCATGCTCGTGTTCTCTCTCTCTCTCTCTCTCAAATAAATTTTTTTTAAAAAATTAAAAATAGAATGTAGAGTTACAAGTTAAATAAATGTACTGCATTGCCGTCCTCTTTGGTTATCAGTGCAGTAGGTAGCAGTGTGCTTGAAAGATGCAGATGGCAGCTCTTAGGGATGACCTGGCCCATATCTTGGGAATGTTTCAGAGTGATCCAGGTTGTGTGATATACTAAAAGATGAAATTACATTCTCAACTTCCATAAATTAGCATGTTAACTGATGATTTTTGGCATTGGAACTACCCAGTGAGCAAGCAAGTAGGGATGTGATGAGTTTTTCAGATCTATTATTTTATGTTTCTAGTTATTTTATTGACTAATTCAATTAGTACATGCAGTCCTAAGATTGTAGTGGTGTTCCCCTGAAACAGCTTTGATGGAAGAGGCAGGTTTTGTCAGTCAGTAAGAATATGTGTTTTCTGTGCACGCCAGGTGCCAGGGAAGAAATGTTTATGTTTGAGACAGTTACTGACTTTGAAGAACCCACAGTCTGCTTGTAAAATTAAGCATTATTATCAAAGTTAACAGATTTTTTTAAAGTATGTGGTAGCACAGAACCAGCTTCATAGTTAATGCTCAGTCAATTCTTGCTGACTGAGACATGCCAAAGGAATGGAACAGATGCTAATTACAATCTACAGATGCTTCCTGAAGGAATGATCACTGCGAGCTAGGGTCCTTGGCAAGGACTTAGTGTGGCAGGAGGGGCTTGACTTGGGCCTTTAAATGATGACAATTAAGAATTTTGTTGGCAAGCAATAGAAATCACCTCTGTAATCAAAATTTTTTTCTGGAAGGATATGGGAGTGCTCACAGAATCAACAGACGGTATGGAAACTGGGATTCAGGAAAAGTCGGGAGACAAAATAACTCAGTGGTCTTTCAGGCTACCTCTACTGGAACAAATGAGTTCCAGCCATCTTTAGTCTGTTGACATTATGCTCACGATTCCACTTTCCAGGGAGTAGTATCAGGTTGGTCTTGTTAGGGTCCCAGGCTGATTACTTACATAAGGGAAGGAAGAACATCTTGATTAACGGTCCCAGAGCACTGTATTGAAAGGAGAAGAGAGAATTCACTGAAAGGTAAATATAATGTCATTAAAATTGGAATAAATGCTGGTCTGCTAACAAACCAATGAACAAAAAAATATTTGCTGTGGAGAAGTAAAATTTCGATACAGAGCACTGTATTGAAAGGAGAAGAGAGAATTCACTGAAAGGTAAATATATTGTCATTAAAATTGGAATAAATGCTGGTCTGCTAACAAACCAGTGAACAAACAAATATTTGCTATGGAGAAGTAAAATTATAGAAGAAGAGCAGCTAGAGAGGACATTGGGTAAGGGTGATAGCATGAGTCAACCTTAAGTAGGCCAGCCTGGTTAGATTCTTTCCTTTAGGGAAGTGGTAAGAAATAAGATTGTGTGGATGGATAGGGGCCATATTATGGATGGTGTTAAATAACAGAGTAAGGGATTTGGACTTGTCTTCGAGACAACAGGAGGCATTTATTATTTTTCAACAGGTAAGTGACATAACCAGAAAGATCTTTTAGTTAGAAAATTGGACAGCAAGAATACAAAATGAATGCAAACAAGAAAACTCACAGCCACCAAAGCCAGCTCAAGCAATGACATTAAAGAGCAGGTTGCAGATCTGAGCCCACTGGGATCAGGTATGGCAAGAGATGGGCCCGTAATACATGACTGAAAAGAAAATGGCAGATTTGAAAGACTTCAGTGAAATTAACAGGATCATTGAATGGGTATGATGGATAAAGGACAGGGGAATCTCAAATAGGACTCTGAGGATTTGAGCCTGAGTGCCTTAGTCAACTGTATCATTAGTAGAATGGAAGAGACTAGTGAGAAATAATGGGTGAGGTGAGGTGAACTGATTGTGATTGATTAGATATGTTAATTTCAAGATCCAGTAGGACACAGGCAGAAATGTTCAGTTAGATGTTACTAAGCAAGAAGTCAGGCCAACAGTTTAAGATCTTACGAGCCATCTCCACAAAGATGAAAGCTCCATGTCCTGAGTTGAGGAGGATCTCTGAGAAGGAGATTCTGTACAAGGAACCAAGTCCAGGGGAAGAAACCTTGGAGAGTTCCAGTCGCTCTGCTGCCATGTCATCATTTGTACATTTACACTGACCACTAACTGGGCAAATAACCTAAACTTAGAGCTTGTTGTAATTCAACTTTCTTCCTTCCTAATTTTATTAATTGATATATGAGCTGAGATTAAACATAATCATAGGAAAAATGGTGGCTATGAAAATTAGCTTCTCAATCATGGAAGACTTGGAAATGCATGGCCTCTATTTGGAAAACAAACCTCGTTAAAACAAAGAGTCAATTATTACATAATTTTAGATTCATTTAAAGAACATAAGTACCTCCTTTTAAAATAGTTTCAAAGTTCCTGGCAAACCTGTCTTTATTTGGTGTCTTAACTTTTACAGCTATTTTTAAAGGAATAGCTTTAACTTAGGTCATGCCTTTTTTTCCAACTTTAAATCAAAGTATTATCACATCTCTTTCTTTCCTAGATTTTTTCTCCCTCCCTTCCTATGAAAGGGTTTCATTTTGAGGACAGTGTCTGAGAGGTTTGCTGAAAGTATGATGTGATGGTCTTGGGCATTGGGTCCCAGCTGTGTGGGGCTCAGCATGATCTGTCTTAATGAATGGAGAGGCAGTGCAAGTCCCGTGTCCTTCTACAACTTATTCTGTACTGTGAATTAGGCTTTTAGAGGAAAAACTACCCAATCGCCAGACAGTAGCTAAGTGCATGTCATTTCACAGCTGACTCTCTTGTCTCTTGCAGTTATTGGCACCGGGTTTGATCTCCCCATTAGAAGGTAGTGTTCCTGCAGTGGAGCACCTGTTCTCTTTTCTCTGCACTTAGTATGATAAATCCTTCCTGCCCCATAAACGAAGCCCAGTATCATTCATGTGGGGGCAGAAATCATCCTTGAAATTTCTACAAGTTCCTTCAGGCATTCTTTCTTCCCATTTCAGCCTCTATGAGGATTTATGGGGATATGTTGAGATTATATTTTATGTTGTGCTTGAGCTCTGCAGAAGATGTTTTCAAACATTCTCATTTGAAGGGGTAGAACAAAGGATGTTGCATTCATAGCGTTTGTTTTAAGTTGTTCTTATCTTCGATCAAAGAAGGTAGAAGTGAAAAGTGTACCTGAGTTGGTGTTAGGGAAAGAGTGGTCAAGGAGAGCCCTGTTGTTACAGTTTCTGTCTGTAGAGTATTCTTTAAGATTCAGCTCACGTCCGTATGCATTCCATCACCTTGCCTTCATGGAAAAGCTATGATTTCAGTGGGGCATTCATTCAGCCATTCATTTATTCAACTAACATTTATTGAGCATCTGCTTTATGCCAGGTATTATTCTGGCAGTGAAAGTACAACTGTGATCAAAACAGGTAAGGTTCTTGGTCCAATAGAGACTGAGGAAAATCAGTAAACAAATCAATAAAATAAGGTAATTTCAGAGAGCAAAAAGCACTGCGAAGACAAAGTGAGGCAGTATGGTAATGATGAGGGGTTGGATACTTAAAACGGGTGATCCAGGAAGGAGGTGATATTGGAGTTGAAGTGTGAGAGAGGAGAGGGAGTAAGCTAGGTGAATCCCTAAGAATGGAGAGTTGAAGGCAGAGGAAACAGTAAAAGCAAATCCTAGAAAAGATTTTTAAGGTTTTACCACAAGAGAACAGCAAAGCTAGAGCTACATAGCTCTGTTTTTAACAAGCTTATGTTATTTCAGATGGTCTGGATTTCTACAACTTTCAATTTATTTCTTATGTACTTGAAGGAATTATTGTGCATAATACTTACCACAAATGCTAGGATATATATTCTTAGAATGAAGTCCTCAGAGATTACATGCTTGGTTTCACTGGAGATATTAGCATCATCAATTGATGACTGCGGAAAATTCTAGGGTCTTTTAGTAGTCCTTGAGTTTTAGAAAATATCAATAGTGTTTTCATTTGCTTTTGAATTCATCTTTTTTTAGAGTGATCATGTTTTAGTAATGTCAAATTATCACTAGGGTATAAAAGTATTATAGCAATTGCACTAATGTCCATCAAGATCTCCCAAGAAAAGTGGCAATCAGCACTAACAGCAAAAGAAGTCAGCCTCATCTTTCTCTATCCTTTCCCTATTTTAATGAATCCACTCCATTTTGTTCTCTTTTAATGTCATCAGTAAACTTAAAGTAATAACAAATTAAACACATCTGAAATGGCTTTTTACCATTGATAAATGGATTACTGGAACAGCTTCATTTTTAAAATCAGAATTATTCATTTCCTTTCAGATAATGAGGTTCTTTTGGTACATTAGCCATAAAAGACTTAACATTCAAGTATATTTTGTTTTCTTTATCTCATTTCTGGTCCCTTCCTTCCCGATTTCTTTCTCCACCTGAAGGATCTCAAACTTGAACCACGGGAAGAAGAAGTTATTGAAGGGAATACTAAATCTGTAAGTACTTTTTTCTAGGTCAAAATGTCAGAAATAATGTACTTTGAAAACATCACTTAATTTCTTCAACATTAGTTACTATCTTAGTGAAAATTTGAAAAATTAGTACATAGGCATATTTTATTTTGCATGGCTAAGTAGTATTGAAATTGTGATTTGTGGAAACCTAAATTTACAGGGTTTTTATGTAAGTGCTTAGCATATGATATGTGCAAAATGAGAATTTTATGCATATGTAAACCAATGAGTTATTGAATAATTGAATGAATGTGACTGGCAGAGAAGGGCAACATTCAAATTATATCAAGAACAACATTTTGTCAACCCTACGAGCCTGAGTGCTACACCTGAGCTGAAACTTGATGCTATTCAGTATCGTATCTCCAGCTTTTATCCTAGGGCCAGGCGCATTGTAAGTGCTCAGAAGTCATTTTTTTTTCCAGAAAAAAAAAAATTGACGTTTAGAGAAAAAGGAACATTTATGTTCCCAGGGAAAAGATGTCCATCCAGAGTGGGGGCAACTTACAGAGACTGAGAGAGAATGGACAAAGTGATGCTAATAGGCACTAAAAACACAATAAAAAGAAATTTATGAATAAGTTAACTAATTGAAAACACATATCATGGTTTGTTATTTTACTTTGAGGCAAGTATTTGTAACACATTCTGTTGGGGGAAAGTGGATCTTTGCATTCACATTTAGTGGAAATTTGGATTTTAAAATCTTGGCAACCCACAGAAAATCACTTTTTTCTTAATACCTTAAATGTATATTGTATAGATCATCTAGGATCCATCACATTTACCTGAGACAAAGATAGGAAAACCTTTCATCTCTGTGCCAGGCACTTACACCACAGGCACTGCCCATGTGATAGAAGACAAGGCTCACCTTTCTTTCGGCTCCTGCCCATCTGTCCAGACTCAAAGCACAGAGAGTCTTCAAAGGGGAAGCTGTACAGGGTTCTGAGAAAAGCTTAATAATGGTGTTACGATTAGAATCCTATGGATATGGCCACTTTGCCCAAAGGTAACCTATATTTCAGTACATGTTCAGTGCTCTGTTCCTCCAAAGATGGGATGTGGTCTGTATTAATTCGTCAGGCACCCAGAATTCTAAAGGAATAGGTTTTGGTGGGAAGCAAAATCATTTTTGAGAAGGAGAGAAGGCTGTCGTCGAGTGCACACAGTAGGAGTACTATTCCTAGCAGTCCCTTAGGCACAGGATAGTGACCTTGCGATCTTGCATCTCTAGCATCAGTTAGATTTGCATGTAGGGAAAACTACACTTCAGTCAAGAAAACTGAACATAACATTTCTAATGTTGAGAGAGACCATTGTCTATTCTTACATAATTTCCTAACGTGAGACTATTTTTTCTCTGTCACTAAGTGGGAGAAAAAAATCATCTAAGGACTGTTGATGGAGCGTGGAAGACTGTTCCATTCTCTGGTCCCTGACAGGAGAGAGGCCAACGTCAATTTTAAAATATTTATCAACCCACACAGCATTACTAATTCAGTAATGCATAGAAGTACTTAACAAAGTAGGATTGGGCAAGGTGCTTCAATAGTCAATATTATTGAAAAGCAGGGAAGGATATTCCTTAACTATTTTCAACCACATGTAAAGGTAAAATAATTACGGTCTTTGGGAATACACATATAGTATAGTAATGATTTGAATAAGTTTGTTTTTCTCAAAGATACCAATAAGCTACTTGTCATTAGAAGTTGTACTTTATCATTAGTGGCCTTACGCCTCACCATCGATTCTTATAAAACCTTCCCTATTCGAAATGACTAAAACAGATCTCCACTGTTCACAGCCAGTACCCAGCATCGCATGCTCCTCTGGGTTCAGTGATTTCTCTTGGTGTCCAAAACCAGTTTTAGTCTTCTTTGACTAGAGAGGTGATTTTCCTTTTCCATTAGTGAATACATGAGAACCTTGAAAAATAAATTCCATACTAGAAAGCAAAGAATATATGGTTATGATAGATTTTATTTTTTAAAAGCTAGTCTTTACTGAGCCTTTGCTATGTGCTGAGTATTGTGTCAAACAAACACATCTGTAATTCACTCCATCCTCATCATAGCCATCTGAAGTGGTGCCATCATTAACCCCACTTTGCAGGTGGAAAATTAAGGTGTGGAAGGATTTCAGTACCCTAGCCAGACACCAGCAGTTCTACGGTAGACCTGCACCCCACACTGTGTAATAGTCCCACTCCAGTGTTTGGTGCATCTCTGGACACTAAAGTGGAGTTGTTCTTTGCCAGTGAGGTTGTGAGCTGACAGATGACTTATTTTCATGAGATTTCCTACCCTTAGAGCAGAACAGTAGTATCTGGTAGGCTTATTTAAGCACACAGCCAAAGTCCCAAACCTTACTAGCTGCCATATCGAGTTTTCTGGAACATGAATCATTACATAATGATGAGTCTAGGATATGATTTCTTTTTTTTTTTAGGTCCTTTTTTTCTTCCTCAGTGAGCAGAGTATGAGAAGTAACATCTATTGAGTATCTATCCTGGGCAAGATTTTTACATACACTATTCCATTTAATCTTCCCCCAAACTCTGTGATATAAGTACCACTGTTCCAATTTCATTTGGTGACTTAAGATGAAAAGATGCAGTAACTGATTCAAGGCCTCATAGCTAGTAAAAGTGAAGCTAAGTGTGCTCTTTGCTCTTAAAGGGGAAAGGAAAGAGAACGAGATGATGGAGGTAGATGAAAGAAGATGATGCAGGGCTCTCGAGTCAGCAGGACCACCTCAAATCCTTTCCTGGAATGAAGCGTGCATAAATAACATTTATGAAAGAGCTTTTAAGAATGGTCACTGGCTAAAAGCAAAAGCAGCATTTGCTTGTTTGTGCCATGAATAACCCGATCACCAGCTATGTGTCAGGCCCTGGGGGAGGGCCTAGATAAAGGGGTGAATATTACAGGCGCTACAAGACGGACCAGAAGGACCTGCAGTGATTCAACGGTGATCTACAGTACACTATGATGAGGATTATTATAGGCAAGTATAGATTTGCACAGCAAGGGAACACAACCTAATTTAGGAGGCCAGGGAATGCTTCAAGAATGACATAGTATTTAAGGTGAAGTCAAAAAGAATAGGAGTTTGAAAAAATATTTACATATCTCATAACATTGAATTTTTTAAATGTTGCACTAAAACAACAACACTAAGGGGCTGTGTAGGAAGATCAAAATGTTCCAAATGATTTGTTACAAGCATGTTATAAAGATCGCAAACTTCAGAATTCATAATTTTACTCTTGTTGTAATAGAATAGGAAACGTACATCAGAGATAAACCCAGATCTAAAATCCCAGATTGTGACTTTATGACTCATGGAAGATGTGGGGGTAATTTATTGTCTTCTAGCTGTCAAGTACTAGGCAGGGAGTATGAATCATTGAAAGGTCAATATAGTTTTTGAAGGGAATCCATCCAGACCACATCCAGACCACACATCCTGGATCTAGCCAGGTGTATTTACCCAACCAAATCCTTTCTGCTTGGTGCCATTGAATGCCTTGCATGGCACTTCTTAACAAACAACTATTAGAAAAAGATGATGATTTCCTAGATATTTCCTATATTCAAAAGGGTTCTTTTTGGAGTCAGTATAATTTTAAACAAGGTTTGATCCCATTCCAGTATTCTTCAAAAGCTGTAACTTTTCTTGAGCGCATTGTTGTTGTTTATACCGGAATAGCTTATACAATAGGAGTTTACAAATCTAATATACTTTTCTGTCTTTCTACCCTCATAAAGTCTGTGAATAATAATATTTTTAAAGTAAATTAATCCTGCCATACAATATCATGTATATTGGGGGTTATTGCCACTAAATATGTCAGGAACTATTAAAACATAGTTTTGCTTTGCAATAGCTATTATAAGATTGAACAAGAGCACACAAGAAAGGCTGTTATTCTGAATACATGCTTGGAACACAATGGTAAATGTAGTAAATAGAGCTAGAAAACATGAAACAAATTAGTTGCATTTAAAATATTTGTCTCCAGAGATGTAAAAAGCTGAAATTTCTCAAAAAAAAAAAATCAAAAAAATCAAAGGTGGATGCAGCTAACCTAATGTGACTAGCAAAAACTGTTCTGTAGATATTCCACCATAATTCCATCATAACAAAATCCCCATTGAGTAAATAATAAAGGGTTCACTATCCCTTCTAAAGCAGAGAAACAAAAATGCTCTGGGCTGGCCATTCACACCAGATTTCAGTAAGGATCTCAGGTTGTGTATTTGACATAAGGGACACACAGAAATGTCATGAAGGTATTAGGACTCCTCTACCAAAGCAAGTTATAAGGCTGGCCCAGATCCAAGGGAAAGGGAAATCGGATCTATGTTTTGATAGAAGAAGCTAAAAAGTCACATTTCAAAGGGCATGCCTTCAGGGAGTAGTGTAGGATTCTGTTCATGTTTGCAATTTAGATCACATAAGAATTGCCTTCAGACTAAAAGAATTTCAGTGGAATAGGTAGATATATTTATATATCTCACTAGGAAAGCCTATGAGAAATCATCTGAGTCATTGTTAATAACAAATACATGATCAAGAAGTCTCTGTAGATTTCTGCCAAAAGAACATGTCCACAGTTATTTTGGCAGAGATAAACTCTTCATTACTGATACTAAAACCAGGTCCTGGGAGAGTGGTCCAGGAGGCTGATTGTTCATTACATAATCTTAGGAGACAGTTATAGGCTCATATCTACTGATTCTTGATCTCTGATCCTAAAGGGAAATAAAACAAAGCTCAATTAAAATTACCGAACTCACTAAGGTGACTGGGCTGTGGAAACAAATAGACCCAAATGGAAAATGATTCCAATATAATAAAAGTTTCTTCCTTGCCCAGTAAAACAGTCCACACAATGATTCAGGGACACAGGCTCCTCTCAAGTGTGGCTCTGCTATTCCTAAGGCAGGTCATTCTATCAACAGAAAAGAGGACGAGAATGTGGAGGGGGTTCACATCCCTCTTGAAAGTCTTGGCCCAAAAGCAATACATAGCACTTCTCATATTCTATTGGTGAAAACTCATCAGTTGGTTATACCTAACTGTAAAGGATGATGGACTATGTACTCTAACTGTACCTAGAAAGAAGAGGAAATGGATTTTGGGGGAATAGTTTGAAGTTTCTGCCACAGTGAGCCTTCTGATCATCAAATATTCTTTTCACATATATAGAACACATGGACCCCTTCACAAGGGAGACCACCCTAAGTGTCCTCCAGTTACTGCTTCTAGCTCAAAGCCTGGCATTCCTGGGTGATGGTCAGTCCTCCCTGTAAGATCAAGATGTAGTCCCTTGCAGTCTGACGCACTTATGAATAAAAAGAAGTTATCTCCCCTCACCACTCCCCGCAAACACACAGATAAAATATACAATGATAAAACTGGGCCAGGAGAAATGTCATAAAAACTGTAATTCAGGAAAGGCATGGATAGGAAGCATACAGCATTCACTGGTTCATTGCAACAATGAATTCATGCTGCGAAGGTATTTGTCAGTGAAGGACGTTCTGTGATTAGACACTGGATCTCCATTCTGGGAGGAACTCTGTTTCCATTGTTGTTTTGAGAGTTTCTTTTGGTTCGTTTTCCTCCATGACCACATCGGGAACAGCTCATCAGAGAGTATTGCCCTTTTTAGGGGTTATATGATATTGATAGCCTGCTTCCTGTTCATGTGAGTTTGGAGGCCCATATATTACCGTAAGGCTTATGCAATCAAAGGATTTTGAGACTGGGATCAAGACTTATTTGACAATACACTTCTTTCAAGAATTTAGTAGACTTGTGGTCAATTTACATATAGGCAGTTTCATGTGCTAGTATCAATACCTAAAATTATAGCATAGACATAGTTTTCAAACCTTGTTGCTTTCTTGGGGCACCTGGGTGGCTCAGTCAGTGTCTGCCTTCGGCTCAGGTCATGATCCCAGGGTCCTGGGATCGAGGCCTGCATTGGGCTCCCTGCTCGGCAGGGAGCCTGCTTCTCCCTCTCCTCCCCACTCCTGCTCTCTGTCACTATCTCTGTCTCTCTCAAATAAATAAATAAAATCTTTATTAAAAAAACACAAAACAACATTGTTGATTTATTTACTAAACCTTATGAAGGTAAGGATTCTATCTTGATTCGTCACTGTATACCCAGAACCCAGCACCTAGCATTTACCTGTAGAAAAACAAAGTAGGAACAATTATTGGATATATAAAGTGTCTAATATGATAGCTCTGATATAACTGGTCTCCAACAATGGTAACTATTAACATGAAGTGAGAAGCTCATTGGAGAGGAGACAGCAAACCAGGGGCTTACTTGTGGCTCTACCACTACACAGCTGGGTAATATTGTGCAAGTTATTTTCCTCATATTCTAAATTGTCCTTACATTGTTGTTGTTTTGCACTTTTATAATTCACTCCCAATCCTTACTTTTTTTTTTTTTGCACTTCTATCATTCATTCCTAACTCTTGATGGAGAAAAGGCGTAATCTTGAGATCAAAGTGCCATGAGAAGCCCGTAGGCAGATCTATAGGGAAGTCTTCAAACTACAAGTGCTATAAACATAATAGGATTTGTTACAAGAAGCAGTTGCCATCCAGCCCCTGTGACCCATTAAACACAGGCTCCATCTGATGCCAAGAGATTTTGAGCAGGGCCTGTGGTATGTGGTCAGTGGTTAATGTACCTTTGGAAATGCAGCATTGAACACACATTTTGAAATTTGGTTGTTTGTAATGATACACATGTCTAATATGAAATATTTAAGGTGAAGCTAGAGCTGTCCAGGTGTAGAGTAAGACCACTCTTTCAAAATGACTGTAGGCTGGTCATCCCAGCCCTGGCTGCCCATTAGGGTCACTTTGTGGGGCAAGGTGGGGAGAGGGCAGGCTTGTATGAATACTGTGCTTGGACCCCACTTCCAGAGATTCTGATGTAAGTGCAATTTTGAAACTGCCTCAGTGCTTCTAATTGAGAACCAGTGCTTTTGAAAGGGAAGTATATCATCGGGAGGCACTGTCTTTAGCACCTGCTACTAGAGGCAAGAAAGGTATCCTGCCTGCATTACAGCTTGTATAGATCACATTACTTGGATTAGTCATGGCCTTCCTTTTGGTCATATCTCTAGATGAGAGTTGTTTGCTTCATGAGGAGGGGAGGGATGGGCTGCAGGGGGTCAGCCGAAGCAAGGCTCCGTGGCAGCTAGGCTGTAACACTTGCCTATTCCTCGGCAGCACATCATGCTTGTCCAGCGTCAGATGTCTGTGATAGAAGAGGACTTGGAAGAGTTCCAGCTTGCTCTGAAGCACTATGTCGAGAGCGCTTCCTCCCAGAGTGGATGTTTGCGGTAAGCGCTCCTGCCGGTCCTTAGATGAAGGCGGGGTCTGGAAGACAGACAGTTGAGAATCCTCCTGTGTTGATCATTCCAGTCCTCTGGGTGATGCATTTTGCAGACTTTAACTGGGTATTTTCTCTTTTATCCTTGACGCTGTGTGGATTTGATCACTGGGGACACCAAGGGAAATAAAATGGTGAGAACAGTTTGAAGAGGGGAGTTTCATATCAACTGGCATCTCCCCCTTTGCATCCAGGCAGGCCCACACTGATTTAAAATCATCTCTGATAGATGAGCCCCAACTCCAGTGCATCTAGCTCTGATTGCTCCCTTGGTAGCATGCCCTGTAGCCTCATACTCATTTCAGCCATTATGAAATTGCACAATGTCTGAAGTCTTGATTGCAGACCTTGGTCATAAAAATAAATAAAAAACTCTTTCCATAGCCACCCCAGCTCAGGCTTCAATTATCTTAGGCTACTAAAATTTATGAACTATTCCTCATTTTCAGTTTCTCCACTCCAAGTGGTCCAATAAACAGTTACTAGAATAATTTTACAGAAACAATTATAGAGTTCCCTTCATCAGGAACTGCAGTAACTCTGAGTGTCTTAACCAAATGCTAGATATTTCTTTGACCCTACGTTTATCCTACTCGAAAGTGCACAGCACTGCTACCATTGGTTCTCTCTACCTGAGCGACAGCAGTGCCCGGCTGCCCATTGTCTTTTCAGCATAACCTGGGCCTTCGACCTGGGCACTCTCCTCCCCAGAAATGTATGCCCAGCCGGTAGGTTTCTGCCAAGCCCATGTTCTGCCTCAAGTTCAAAGCCCAGCCCCAAACTCACCTGCTTCTGGAAAACTACAGCCAAATCTATCCCTACCTTGGGATTTGTTTAAACTGTATTTCATAATGCTCTTCGAATATTGCTTTAGCACATGTGTGCATACACACACACAGAGGAATGCATGCTTTATGTCTTTGAGTGCCTTGGTGTTACTCCCAGTAATTATATTGTACTTATACTCCAGCAGAATAGCTCCCCAGTTAAGAAGTCTGGCTCTGGAGTTAAACATGGGATTGTATTCATTTCGTGATTTAGGGAAAGATCCTTACAGGCTCTAAGCCTCAGTTCCTCATTAAGATGGCTGTGGGGATTAACTGAGTGTTCAGCTCCCCGAGGCCCAGAAAACATGAGCAGGGTTACGATCCCTTCATCATCTGGCTGGCTGACCTCTGACCCACTCTTTAGAGTTGCAGGGGACTTGCTCAGTGTTGTTACTGTCTGACCGCTCACAATCTTCCCGTCATGCCTTTGTGAATGCTGAGTTTGCTTTGTTGTTGATATTCTTCACAACAAACTCAGAACAGCTCAAATCGAAACCATTTTAGCCCTTTTAGTTCAGTGACGTAGGGATCTCCCAAAATGTGAGCATATGTAGTTTTAAAAGCCTACTCATCTGAAACTGAAATTGAATGATTGGAAAATGCAAAAAGAGTGTGCGAGCGTGCGTGTGGTATACACCATCCACAGTAGGAACTGCAGAAAATAGAGCACAGAACTAACCGAAGAAGTGGGGACATAAGGAAGATAAAGTCTGGTTTGGTGTATCATGATCTCGGGGAATGGATTAGACTTTTTACCTTTATAAATAGGGCACACAGTTTGATTATTTCTTAAGGTTCAGAGATAGTGCTTTAATGTGTGCCGGGAAAAGGGCCCGAAGCTCTGCAGCCAGGCCCAGGGTGATGGGGTAACGAAGCAGCAGTGGAGAGAGCAGCTGAGGAGACAGATCTGTGCTACCAGACTGTTCTCTCAGCAGCCACGAAAAATTGCTCCCTGGGCTCCAGCTGTGAGGTACAGGGAGGGAGAGAATCCTCTTCCAGTGAGATAAGTTGAGACTCTCAGTCTCTCCTTTTCCTTTGCAAGACTGGTTTGTTTTTTAAGGACTCTTCATTCACTGCTTGCTGATTTTTCAACTGATTTCTTTCTTTTGTTAGAATTATCAAAAAGTAGACTTTATCAGATGGAATGAGCCTCAGAGAATCAGTCCACATGGCTGGAAACCATGTGAAACACCCATTATGCTGGCCTGCCTGTCTAAATTCAGTTCATCAAATCCAGTTTTCTTCTCTCAATTGATGAGCAATCGAATGGGCCATTCATGTTGATAGTCATGCACTATTGCCTTGTGCTTGCCTGATGAAATAAAACTCAGAATGATGAGTTTTGCAGTTTCTTCGCCTCCCCTAATGTCAGGCTCAGCTTCACCATAGCTAGACAGGAAATGCTGTCATAAAACAAAGTAGAAATTAAGGATGTATGACTAGGCAGTTAATATCCATTTTCTTATTTGATCTTCACTGCAATCATCTGAAGTGTGTATCACGTCCGCTGAAGGAGGGAATAAGCCCAGATGCGTTAAACATCTTGCCCCAGCGTGTCTGACCCCAAAACCCACATTTAATCCTTCTTGCCAGTACTTGGTCATCCTTGAATTAAAGTTTTCTGGACTTTGGTTAACCAGGGGTAGAATGGACAAGATCCCGCCTGTTCCAATTACAAGGTCAGGCAACTGAATTAAAGAGGCTTTTGCCCGGAAGGTATTTGACCACCACACTCAGAGGTTTAGAGGCTGACTGAGTCCTTGTCAGAGTATTCATCAATTGAGTTTCAAAATAAGTTGTTAGTGGAAAAGCCAAGTAAATCGTGTGACCCATTTCTCACACACACACACACACACACACACATACATACACACAAACACTGATGATCTTTTTGCTTATTTATTTTAAAGATTTTTTTGAGAGAGAAAGAGAGAGCAAGTGGGGGGAGGGGCAGAGGGAGAGAATCTTCGGGTAGACTCTCTGCTGAGCATGAGACTCTCTGCTGAGCCCCCTACGTGGGGCTCAGTCTCACAACCCGACCCGTGAGATCATGACCTGAGCTGAAAACAAGAGTTGGACACTTGACTGACTGAGCCAGCCAGGTGCCCCTCGTTTTGCTTATTTTGTAATCATGACAGCTTATTAATGCCTATGGGGAGGTAGCAATTGAATATATGTGATATGCACAGTGTATTCTTAGAACATGCTGGATGCCAGAAAAAGTGAGAAAAGGTTCTGATTTCAAGGATCTTAGAATCCAGTTGGGAAAATGGGTTATTCATTCATAGCCTAAAATTTCACGGCTGTTAAATAGAATAAGATGATTTCGGAAGTCACCCTTAGATATGAATTCTAGAATTCGTATGTGTCCTAAACTCTATGTCTCTATGTCAAGAGCCTAGGGAACATGAATGTAGAATTATAAGACTTGACCCAAACTGAACATAAAAAAAAAAAAGACTTAACCCTGAGACTTTGCCATGGCCAAAGAAAGATCTTTAAGAACAAATGATACCCTGTGGCATATTGACCATGAATACGTTATCAGCATTTTTATGCAGGTGAAATAAATTGGTGGCTGGAGCTTGGTGTGGAAAAATGGGGCAGGACCCTTCCTCCTGTTGTGCCTTTTCTCCAGTGGCTAGGTTCTATGAGTTAAAGTAGGGCATGAGGGGAAAGGAGGAAGCCAAGAGGGAGAGAGTCTTATGTAACTTCTCTTCAACCCCAGCTGTTCCTGAGCCATATCCTTTTCCCCTGGAAGCTATTTCACTGCCTTTTTCCAGCTGCTGGGAATATTTAAAATTTCCTAGGGCTCAGGGTGAAGCTCTTAGTGACTATATCCAGGGACAGCTTAGCCAAAGAAGTCTAGCTTCTGCCTTTGAGTGGTAAGTGTCACAGGAAGCCTAAACACAACAAGGAGGAAGACTGAAGCACATTAGCAACAGCTCAGAAATGTTCTATGTAATTCTAAGTTTGTAGATAATTGAAAGCTAATCATTCAAGTTCTAAGCCTTTTCAACAGAAATAGTGTGGACAGAATTTTTTCATAATTAACCTTAGTGTCATCATTTCATACGTATCGTTATCTGTATTGTACGGTCTTAAATAGCAATGTCCTTAAATGTCATTGCTATGTATTGATTAGTTTCACTCTTAACTGAAAGCACCCAGTCTGTAGAACATTTCTGATTAGCATTTTCACCCATGTCCCTTTGAGTCAAAATCTTTCAAAATGCTTTCGGTTCTGCCATCTGGCTCTTCACTAGATGGCCTATAATCGAGAAGAAAGGGAAGGGAGCAATACCAACAGGCCCTCCTCTTTGAGCCTCAGGATGCAAGCATTTCTCAGAAGCCCTTGCTTCCCAGCAGACATTCCTTGGTATCTCATTGGCCCAACTCAAGTCGCATGGTCGTTCTTGACTCCAGGGGAGGTAAGGAAACCAGTATCCAACAGAAAAGAGTGAGATGTCTCAGTCCAGTGCTAACTGGTACATTGGATAATACTGTGAACTCAACAGTGGCAGGGTTCTGTTAAGAAAGAGGTGAGAATAATAGTTGGGGCAACAGACAGTGTCTGCTGTATCACTCCCAGAGTCACTGTGAAGGTGACTAAATTCCTTAATCCATGTAGAGTGCTTAGACCAGGGTCTGGAACAGAGCAATACGTGTTAACAACTATCACCATCGCTTTTAGTGCGTATAATAATATAACAATTATCATCATTATTATTGGCTTGCTGCTTTACGTTGTTTTCACAGATATGTCTTTTTCCTTCAGTTTTTTTTTTTTTCTGGTCTTGTTTTCTCTCCAGTTCCTTTTACTTCTGTCATGCTCCCCAGCTTTAACACCATTTAAGACTTAGCCTTTGTAACTGCTCATTCCATGGAAGTGCCACTTTCTTCTGGGCTGTTGAGCTAACAGCTGACTAAAAACACAAAATTTGCCAAGAACTGGGCTAAGCACTCTACATGCAACACTTTAATCCTCCCTGTACTGTTATTATCACCATTTTACAGGTGAGGAAACTGAGGTAAGTAATGGACCCAGAGTGACAAAGCTACTAAGTTGTAGAGAAGGGTAGGCCTGCTGCTCTGTACTTCAAACCACTGCCCCGATCACACT